ACGTACGTACTACTACTACTACTAACTACTAACTAACTAACTAACGTTAACGTTAACGTTAAGTAACGTAACGTAGTACGTAGTAGTAGTAGTAGTAGAGAGAAGAGAGAGAGAGAGAGAGAGAGAGAGAGAGGAAACTTATGGTATGAACTACAAATATGTAAACAACAAGATGCATATATAGTGTTCAACTCTGAAAACTACCCTTGAATCAAACCAATCAATGGCCAAAAATTTTTCAGAGGCAATGAGCATGAGAAAATATAATATTTACCTGAGGAAACTGGTAAGTTCTAAGCCTTGAAACATCTGCAATTCGCTTAACCGTGCGACTTCCCATATCAGATGAGAACTCCTGCAGATCGTAGATTAAGATTAACAATCCAAACATGATATTATTTATGAATAATAATATTTATGGATAACCAAACCTGAAGAAGCCACCAATCAAGAAAGAAACAAAAGAATTTGGAAAGTTATGAGAAGAGGGAAAGCTAACAAGTAATCACCTGATCCCTAAAAACTGTAAGACCTTCCTTCAAACTAAGCTGGAACCAGTCACGACATGTCACCCTGCACATGTAAGAACAATATTTCAGAGCCAGCAGATTGTACCAGAGATTTATGTCAGTTCTTTTGAAGAAATTGCATGCCTACTACAAGCCAATAGGGTACGGATGCTATGGCACATGGTACAACAACATGGGATCTCCATTTCTCATGATGGAAAGTGAGGAATCAACATAGTGGGCACAACTCACGCCAGTAGAGTTAAATCTCTACCATCCATCATAAGGGCTGTGCACCATACTGCGTTAGCTTACGGCATACCTTCCCAGTTATCTCAGTTATATAAATTTTTCATGAGAAACACTGATGAAATAAAATGCATGCCAACCTGTTGCCTGTCCAGTTATGGAAATACTGCACATTTGAGAAACAGACAAGAAATTTCGTCAGGACATGTCATAACAATAAAATAGCCTCCAAAACCTAGAACATATGATAGAATATGAACCAAAAAATATAATTTAATATGGTGAAAGAAGTATAAAACACATTGAAAGCATCACTTGGGGCAGAATTTACCTCGTGACCAATAACCCCTAATATTGAAGCATAATCTGCATCTGTTGCTGTTTCAGGAGATGCCAAGACAAGCTTGGAGTTGAATATCTATTCCATCAAATATACATCCGAAATTTACAAAATTAATCCAAAGTCCCAAAAATTCTAAAATGAAAAGGAGCACTACAAACGCACAAGGAAAGGAAAATTTGAGGAAAGGATTAAAAAGGAAAGTATGCCTTACATTGAGGCTCTTGTTTTCCATAGCTCCCCTGGCAAATTATCAACAAGGAGCGTCATGTATATAATACACCAAGGTTAATGCTTTCACCTTTATTTTGAGATAATCTACATCAAACTAAATTCCAATAATCCATAAGCCTTACATGTTAAAATCTGGGACTGCCACAATGTTGAAGAGATCAAGGTCATATTCAAGACCAAAAACCTGTTCCAAAACTCAAAACAAATTGTAACATCCGAGTTTAAGTCCAAAAATCTCTTACTCCATTTTACTATGGGTTTTTGGTTATATTTCCCTTTTCTTATTTAGAATATGAAATGAAAAAAGATTGATGTTTTCTTTCTTTTTGAAATAAAATACGCTATGACTGGGGGACTTCAAAAAGAGATACTGACTTCTTCATCCCACTTCATGGCTGCCATAAGGGAATGCATGGCATGGGCTGTCTTTGGTACATCCTCTGCTTTGGTCCAGATCCTAAGTGAAACCTTACGCCCAGAACGGGTCACAAATGTGTCATCTCTGCTTATAAGCTGCCCAGCAACTAATGCAAACAAGTAACTGGGTTTCTTGAAAGGATCTTCCCAGAGAGCATAATGCCTGCCATCCTGCAAGAGAGGAGAGAGAGAGAGAGAGAGACCATTTTATGTATGTCGTCCGCAACCCGCAACCCAGAATGCACCTATAAACATCTTCATAACAAACAAATACCCATAAAAAAGAATCACAAAAAAAAGAAACTGCACCTCAAGGTCCCCTTGCTCAATAAGATTTCCGTTGGATAACAATACGGGATATAGTGTTTTATCAGCCTCAACGTGGCATGTATATTTTGCCATGATGTCAGGGCGATCCTATATAATGAGGAAAGCAGACATCAGCAGTAAAATGGCAAGGCGAAGCTGACTGGTAATATATCAACAAGCCAGAAGATCAAAGCTACTTACTACCATTTTTTAAGGAAAAATATTAGAAATGTAACTGGAACACCTGAATGAATCATGCAGCAATTCCAGAAACTTGAAATATCAGGACAGACCTGGTCCTATTAAAATTTTTTAATGACTATTTTAACCTCCCCTCCCCATTTAGTTTACCTTCTGGTCCTCAATTTTCCAATATTTTAAGCCCAGAATAAGGAGTAAAATAGTCATTCAAAAATATTGACTGGACTAGTACTGTCCAGGGACTGTCTAGATATTTAAAGTTTAGGGACCACCTTCATGATATATGCAGGCGTCACAGGCACTGCCCTAGTATCTTCCCTAACTTTTAAAAGCTTATGCAGACATAACAACAAAGGTACAAACCTGATAAAATGTAATCTTGCGGAAACCTTCTGCTTCACATTGAGTACAAAAGTTCCCAGATGATTTATAAAGACCCTGCAAAGCCATAAATATATGTCATAGGAGCACAAATGAGGGTTACACCAAAACCAGTTAAATATTCTAATAAGTTGTGTCACCTCTAACGATGTATTGTTCTGAGGATATATCTCCGTGACAATCTCCAATATGAATGGCTTTGTTGGAGGCGAAGCCAATATGAGATGGCGCGAGTCCAAAACAAAATCTTCCTTCTGCAAGACCACTATATTAGAACTGCATAAAAGAGTGTTTTAAAATAAATTTTCCCAAAATATTTGTTTAATTGACAATAGTTTCAAGTTGAAACTTGAGGTCCGGATTTTGGGCCCCACCCCAGCAGAAACTTGCTTCCGTAAAAAAATGGATTTTCTTTTTTGATTGGTTTTTTCCCAAAACAAGATGGCTATTCTATGGAAACAAGAAACATGTTCGTATGCTCCCACGCTGAAGTTCAGCCTTTAGAATCAAAAAGCAAGAAGATAAGCACCTCTGAATCACAGGTAATTTCTCCTTCAGTTTGTACAATGCTCATAGAGGCCAATAGTGAAACAGACAACTAGGCGAGGATTGTTGTCTTTAGGCCGAGCTTAACTGTGTAGGATGAATTCCCACTCTCAAAATTACAAATTTGTAATCTCAATTACTTATGTTCATACTTATGACATTTTATTCACAGCAATAAAAGCATTTATCATAAACAAAAACAAGGATATCTTATTCTGCCCCAAATTGTGGGGCACCAGCATCAAAAAATAAATGTTGGCCATCTAACAATTAAATATTCACTGAAAAGAAAACAAATCAATATCGAGAAGATATCTTGCAAAGGCCCAAAGACAAATTTCTGGGTTTCTTCAAATACTAATCCATGATAATGGCAATTAAAGCTCCTGAGTACTAAACCTGAATAATATTTATCTCTTGGATCACTAATGCAAATACTACATTCTTGCCATTTAAAACCACCTAAGTCTCCAAATCACCCATACAGGAATCATTTGTGTACAACCTCCTCGGTACCATCACAGGCATTTTGGGTGACATCCATTAAGTACTCATTTAGAATTTCGTACCACGTTGTATCATCCAATCATTCAAAAAGCCAAGAATCATTCATAAGGTGTACATAAAATGCCTCCAAAGAATTTCCATTAAGCAAAATCATAGCAGAATTATAAGTTATATTCCATCAGTTGTACAAGTAAGTTATTTAAGCTACAGTAGTTCAACACTAACTTACACTTGTAGCACAAGTACTCCATGATAAAATGGTAAAGATTACTAAAACAACTAGTGTCCACATAGTATCAATGTCAAAATCAGCAAATATCCCAGTGAAACTTCTGTAAGTCAATTATTTTCTTGGGGCAAATCTTAAACCAATTCACAAAAAATTTCACTAAAACCAAATACACTGAAAAAATTTGGGAGCAACTACCTTCAGTTCCTCGCCATTAAGTTTGATTGAAACCAACTTGAGATCTTGTCCATCCAAGATCAATGGAAATGAAACACCTGTAATATGAACAGAGCATCCTCAAAGCCAAAACCAAAACCAAACTCATCGGGAAGGCATGTATGATAATATCTGAATAGAGGATTAGATAAAAAAGACAACAGATCCATTTGTCACCACTTAAAACAGCTCTTGTAAAACAATATGAATTTTCATCAAACAACAAACAATGTTACCTTCAACCCTTGGTAAAACAGTTATTCTGGAGCAAACAATTGTTTTATCTTCACCAAGTGAAAATTTTAGATCAACCTGAAATTGATTCACATCAGAAGGTGCTTTAAGACCTCAGGTGCATGATAACCATGCAATCCTCAAAATACCAATTACAAAGACACTAAAAACTAGTAACAAATGCTGGCCAGAAGTATATAACCAACTAGATCCAAAACCAAAATCAGAGAAAAATAAATAAAATGAAATATCTAATGCATTAAGTAGGAAAACAACCAGCTATGCAGGATATACAAAGGGCACATCTATCACTCACCGTGTCGAAAAAATAGTCAGGCATCTTATAGTGCTTAAGAAAGATCTCTTTGGGGGTCTCCATCTTTGAATTTTCAGTTTGAGTTGGGAAACGTTGTGTTGCAACTGAACTATTCAGCGCCCGAGTAAGTCTCTTACTGGTCTGAAATGAAGTTGTAAAATCCAAGTTTGCGGTTAACATACACAAAAAAGAAGACCCCACGAAGAACCATAAAGGGATACATGAAGCAATTAAATTTTTCAAGGACAAAGATACTTATTCATAATAGCAAAGGCATTGTAAGTAAACTGGTCATGCCATCAAGAAATAGGCACAAGAAAATAGAGAAAAATGTTGGATGGAACAAACACCATTCAGATATGAACATATCAACAACCTCAAAAGTTTACCAACTATTTTATAAAAGGGATTGTCTACAAAGAGACCATTTATCTTTTGTACATGGAAGTCGCAATCATTCTTGTCCCTTAAATTTCAAAATGGGTGGTTGTAAGAGTGTCCTGGAATAGACACAAAGATCCAAAATAAAAATTTCTTGGACTTCGTGACTAACCCCAAGACATCCAATTTGACATCTAATGCATGAGAATGATTGTGACCTTCGTGTACAAAAGATAAACGGTCTAGACAATCCCTTTATAAAATAAAAAAGCAAAATGAGGATAAATAAGTTTGAAACTACATTTGATTGCATGTATCTAGGGTCACTTACGGACAAAGGGTGGGGAAACTGAATTCTCCTCCAATGTGAAACCTGCACAATATCCAAATTAAGATAATAAAAAAAAAGAAAAAGATAGTTCTGTGGCTAAATTTGAATTTGAGGTTAGACCCAATATTTGATCACAAAATGAAATAGAAAGGTTGCATGCATATGGCAACTTCAACTCACATAAAAGTAAAACAATTAACGAAAAATCAGTCTTCCAAATAAATGTGAAAAAATAAAATGATTAAAACCATAGATATTTACCTGCTGGGATAGGGCACTTAAATTACGTTGATAATTTCTTTGGGGATGTTGACAGTAACCTCCACATTTGGCGGTTTGTTCCTGCATGAAAGGAATGCTTAGCAAGTTCGTGTCCAATTACACAGACATGTTTTTTGCAAACTAATTTATGAAGATAGAAAATAATAAATAAATATCAAAACAACAATAAAGCTTTCAACAATGAGGACAGTAGTAATAATATAACAACAACAACAACAACAATAAATAATAACAATATTAACTTTAATCATTCTAATTTTAATTTAATAATACTATTATTATTAATAAAAAATCGGATTTTTGTTCATTAGAAAGTAATTACAAAAGTCGGGCTGCTTGATAACGAATACGACAAGAGGCTTTATCTTTTCCATGCCAGATAAAAACCCCCTACTGATAAATTAAGAAGGAAACCATCATTAAAACTCTAAATTAAACAAACAAGCTGACAGTCTTCACAACTCTCTCTCTCTCTCTCTCTCTCTCTCTCAAGCACATACCAGCAAAACTTTTTAAGTTTTCGTACCCAAAATAAAATTTACCCCATAAAAACTACAGGACTACAACAAAAAATTATCTTTCTCTGTCACCAAAAAACCTGCCAAATAAGTACCTAAAATATACAACTTTTCTTAAAATTTAATGAAATGAAGGAAATGGGGGTGGATAATCACATGAAAAGATGGTATTAGGCTCGAAAAACCCCGCTTTGCCAATGAAACCCCGAAAAAAGCCGACCCATGACATGGCTTAATCAGTCGAGCCATTCTTACTCAATCCCCTCACCTAACATCCATCCAAAAAGATTATCACACGAAAAAAGGGGAAAAAAAAAAAACACTGCCTTTGAAAAACTTCATCAATGAAACGAAACGTCATAATAAAAAGGCATCCTGGCAACTCAAATACCAGGAAAACGAATTATAGTGCGCACTGCAAACCCTAACACTAACACATAATCCTAACCAGAATGAGCATACATATACAGGCCACATGAATATAAGACCACAGAATTTAACTCAAATTGAAATCTAAAAATTTGACAGATAAATGAAACTAAGGAAATGGAAATATATAAATAATATAAAAATTTTAATCTATGATAAATGATTAATATGGTAAAAGATTAAATAAATATGTCGTTGGTTTTTAAGATTACAAAATGGAGATTATTAGCAAAAATGGAGATTTGCAAACCTGCTTATCAGAAAGAGCAATTGATCATGACCAAGCAAAATGGCGAAGGACTGAATATATATAAGTAAGTTATTTAGAGAATATCGAATGTTGACCTTGTCTTTAACGTCAATGACAAAGGAGTCCTCCTGAGTTTTTTTTTTTTTTTGGGACTGTATACAATGAAACATTTTTACCTTTGGAATTTTATTTTACTTTTTTTCGATTGTATACAACGAGACATTTTTACCTTTGGAATTTTATTTTATTTTTTTTCAATTGTATACAACGAGACAGTTTACCTTTGGAATAGAAATGTCGCAATTACTTAGAACCATCTGATATGAATTCTGATATCTTAGATGTATCACAAAATTCTAGAAAAAAAAATTTGAACTTTGAACTTGGTTAATGAAATAAATACAACCACTCAATTTCAAACCCAACGGTCAAGATTTATTGTGACCACCTTGTACCAAAGGTTAATGGTCTCATTATATACTTTTTCCTTTTCTTTTTTTTTTTAAGAAAGATCATAGATACCCTTAAAACTTTATAGACATCCAACCCCGCAATACTTTTTGTATCATACTCTAAACCTTAATAATATTTTTTCTTGTAATTACCCCCTAGTCAATAAGTCAATAAATTTTTGACATAAATGCTTTTTTTCCTCTCTTTTCCTTTTATGTTTTATAGTCACGTCGCTTTCATTTATCTCTATACTCGCCCTCTCTCTCACTTTCTCTCTCTACCTCTCCCTCTTTGTCTCTTTTTCTACCCTATTATATTTAGAGAAGATGAAAAACTCTGGAAATGTCTAGAGAGAAAAACAATCTCGATCAATTCTTATTCAGATGAATGAAACCCTAAAAGAGTTATATACAAACATATTCAGTGTAGACCATATTATCCCTACACACATATATATATATATATATATAATGACAATGAAAGACAACTAAAAATTATACATCTTATATTATACGTACATTATTACCTCCCCTCAAGCTGATGCAGACATGAGTAAAATATGAGCTTGTCCACTAAAAAATCATGGTTTTTTCGAGTAATGGATTTGGTGAAAATATCAGCCTCTTGTACAGTAAAAGAAACATAGGAGAGAGATAATATACCATCAAGATAACGATCAAGAACATAATGACAATCTACATTAATATGTTTTGCTCTCTCATTAAAATCGGATTAGATGCAATCTTAATTGCACTCTTGTTATCTGCATATAAAAGTAGGGAATTTAAAATAGAGATACCAAATTCATTGAGAAGAGCATGAACCCAAACAATCTCACTAGCAATAAAAGACATAGTACGATACTCAGCTTCAGTGCTTGACTTAGAGACGGTGTCATGTTTCTTGCTTTTTTCATGTTAGTAATGCACAATATCTATCGAACATAAAGAGGATGTGGAGTCAATGAATAATTCACGATTAGAAGTACCTCAAACATAAAGTATAAATCGGTGAACTGCTAGTAGATCTGGTCGTCGAGGATTTGAACAAACTGGCTCACAATATGGACAATACATGCAATATTTCGGCAAGTCATAGTGAGATAGATGAAGGAGCCTACAAGTATGCCATACATTGTACACTCAAGAAGATGATCTTCAACATGTGCAGAAAGTTTAACAATGAGCTCCATAAGTGTATCAACAACCTGCACATCATTCAAACAGGGACTGGAAATCGCTCAAGTGCATACTTCTATTGATAGATATAAATACCATATTTAGAGTCAGGGATCTCAAGGCCAAAGAAATAAGATTCTTCCCCATGGTCCTTCATTTGAAATTATTTTTACAATCGAAGCTTCACATCCTTGATGGAAGTGATAGAATGAGAAATATCGAAACCAAAAAGAAAGAAAACTTTGATCTATGTGTGGTTGAAGTAGGGTGTGAGCAATGTTGGTGGAAGGGTAATTGCTCGAAAAAAGTAACATGTCGGGATATTCTAATATGATTAACAGAATGATCAAAACAACAATATCCCTTTTGATTTGTTAAATAACCTACAAACATGTATTTTACAGACTTAGGTGAGAGTTTATCACGAGTATGAGATGGTAAAGGCACAAAACATGTGCATTCAAACACACGTAAATGTAAGTAATCAGGGGTTTTTGAAAAAACTTTTGAAATGATGACACATTGAATAAACTGGTGTAGGAAGAAGATTAACAAGATAGATAGCAATAGAAATTGTTCTAGCCCAATGTTATTTAGAAAATGGGAGCTTATAATAAGAGAATGAACAGTTTCAATAATATGACAATGTTTCCTTTCAGCAACTCCATTCTGCTCAGGTGTATGATAGCATAAATGTTGATGAATAATGTCATTTGTATGATGACATGCTTGGAATTCATTAGATAGATACTCCTCCCCCCCAGAATCAGACCTAAAAACTTTAATGTTCTTCTCAAATTGATTTTTAATCATATTATGAAATTCTTTAAAAACACCAAACACACTTAACTTGATTTTGAGAAAATAAACCCAGGTATACTTTGAAAAATCATCTATAAATACCACATAATAAGAAAAACCACTAATTGAAGGAACATGAGCAAGGCTCAAACATCAGGGTGTATTAAATATAAAAGCTTGACACTTTTATTATTACTATGAGGAAATAGTTAAGCCAAGTGTTTTGCCAACTTGTAACTCTCACAAACAATATTCTTACCAAATTTTGTAAGAGTAAAGACAACAAGTAAAAATCCAGAGTTTAAAATAGATAACATTTTCTAAGTGTATGGGTATCCTAACCTATAATGCCAAACATACCAAAGAGAGTTTGATTGACTTATTTCACGAGGAGAATGGGAATGGTAACAAACTGACAGAGCTTGTGGAAGGTGGGAAGGAGCTTTAGTGAAACTAACTAGGAAAAGCTAACATTGCTTAGTACCTCTCCCAATCACTTTTCCAATTCCTAGATCCTGCATCTACAACCTTTATTAGAGAAAGAAACAAGACACTTGTTATCAACTAACTAGCCAACAGATATTAAATTAAGTGAAAGATTGGGAACATGATGGACATCTTTCAGTGCGAAGGAGTTACTAGATAGATTAGGAACATTGGTATTACTAGAGTGGGTAACATGAAGTAGAGACCCATCAATAATAAAATAAATTATATTTTCATAATGGAGTTTTACCGAGGATAATTAATAAAGTTGTCTAGTCAAATGATTCGATGTTCTTGAGTAAATGATCCAAGTGTTTGATAAAAAAATTGAATTACTTAAAAAACCCATGATAGCTAAAACCTGAGCAAGTTGCTGGAGTGTAGTTAAGTCAATAGAGTGAAGATCTGACATTGATGCAAGAAAAACAAATGTGGAGGCACAATGGGAGTGAATGGAAGTGACATCCTCTATGTTGATGGGACTAGGACTAAAGACAAGTGCGGCCAATTGAGTCTGACTAGGTACATGATGCTTCCCACATGCTTGATGGCGTTTTTGATAATCATTAATTACATGCTCTGGCTTCTTGCAATAATTGCAAAAAATTCACTTCTTACACCGATTAGTCATGTGGCCTTTTTGTTTGCATATATGACACTACATTTGGATATAATTGGCATCTTAGTTAGGGAAATTGGAAATGGCAAAGGCCACATCAATGACTTCTTATGATGAGGATTTGCAAACCTCAATATAGCCTAAGTGAGTTTCTTCAGCAAGAAGATATGAGAGGCAATCATTCAATGGTGGAGTGGGAGTATAATAAAGGATTGATGTTCTCATGCTTTCAACTCACAACTCCATAACGAAGTGACATAAACGAGATCGATTTTGTGTTTTAATAATAGCTTTAGTGGGTGACTATGTTTCTGTTGAGTCCATCTCATTCCATATGCTTGTGAAAGTATTAAAATAATCTTGAATTGATGAATCCCCTTGTTGTGTCTTCATGTTCTATTGTTCAAGGGTGTATAGTTGGGCAATGTTTGCTTGAGAATAAATCTTTCGTAAATAATTCCACTTTCCTTTGGCACTAAGTTGATATGTGAGGTTGCGCCCAATTTTGGGCTCAACTGAGTTCATAACCCATATCACAAGAGCTATCAACGACAAGCCAATCATTATGCTTGTTTTCATCCTTAGGTTAGAACAGTTCCATTAATAGAGCCCCATAACTTTCTTCACATAAGAAAATGTCGTATTTGGAAATACCACAAACTACAGTCCTTTTCATCAAGACAAACAAAAATAGTTGTACTCTCGTTAACATTTTTGCACTCTATACATGGATAATTTGTGGTGATTTGCATACGGTTTGCATAGCAAGAGCAACAAGAGCAACATGACACTGCAAATTCAATTAGAATGATAGAAACAGTGTGCATAGGAAAATCAATATGAATTAATTTACTTGCAATGGAAGCAATTGGATGAAAGAGTTTGCATGCAAAAAAACAAAAATATGAACTAATTTGCTTGCAAAGGAAGCAATTAGATGGAAGAAAGCAACTGCAAACAAATTAATTTGATACAGTTTACATGCGAATTCAATTGGAGCTAATTTGAGATGCATGCGATAGGATATGTATCAATCGGAGAAAGCGATCAAACATGCGAATTAGTTTGCATGCCAAGGAAAGGGAAATATGTCAAGGAAAAAAAAAGTTTGCTTTGATGAGATTTGCTTTTGATGACAACTTTTCTAGAGATAGAAACTTCACAAAAAAAAAGAGGAATGGCGATCTATGAGCAGCAACAAAGAAGAGATGATCAGATCTTTGAAGCTTTGATACCATATTAGATTTAGAGAAGATGTAGAACTTAGTT